GTGTATGCCACATCTTCTTTATCCATTCATCTGTTGATGGACAGTTAGGTTGCTTCCATGTCTTGGCAATGGTAAATAATGCTGCTATAAACATTGAGGGGCATGTATCTTTGCCAATTAGCATTTTTGGTTTTTTCAGATATATACTCAGCAATGGAACTGCTGAGTCATATGGTAGCTCTACTTTTAGTTTGCATATTGGCCTGGTCAACACCTGTAGATCTGAGGAAGGGCTTAGACTGCCCCTAGTGGAGAAAATCTGACCAGATGTTGCCTCATTCAAAGATGAGTAAAGAACAAACACTGAAGTTTAGTCTGCTAGGAACAAAAATTCCACAAGAAGAACATGAATAGAGGTATGCCTTCCAAAAGACCCAGGGAAATAAGGTGATTTGATTGAATAATCAGGAAAATGTTTTTCTCATAAACTATTCATCCTGAGTATAGTGCAAGAAACATGGCCTCTACTTGCCATAAAAAGGATATACTGAAGTTAAAATATATATATATATAAACTCAATATATATATATATTAATATATATACTCAAAAACAGGAAATCTGATTGTTCAGGAACCATGAAAGAAAGTAAAGAATTATGCAAGAATTTCTTCTATGGAAAGTGTCCAGCTCAGATGAATTTACAGTCCAGTTCATTCAAACTTTCAAGGAATAGACATTCTATGTTCCTACACGTCCCAGACCTTTAAAAAAGACCATCCAAGCCTACCCTAGTTTTTAAGTTGCCGTATAGCTTCTTTAATGCCACACAAACTTGATTTTTTAAGTCAAAGAGTAGTATTAGTCCATAAAGAAAGTCAATGCACAATTGCAAAAAAAAATTCTTCAGGAAGATGGAATGATTTTAAACTTGCAGGCATATGCCGAAGAGAAGACTTCTTTGCTGTTGGCTTCCGTGAGGAGAGGTGTTCCTGAGGGGTGTTTGTATAGCTCTCTGCCACCCGACTCACTCCGCCCTGGGGGTAGCCTGTCTGATTGGCACACGGACACCAATAAATGGTGCGTGTGGTTCAGCTCTGCCCTGACTTCCTCCCTCTTGGAAGCAGGATGCTCTCAGGGAGCACGTGTCCCACTCTTCCTCAGGGGCTCTGCTCCTCTTGGGGGAGTGCTGCCCTGGTCTGGCCAGCAAGTCCACTGTGGCTCTGGTTTCAGATCGAGGCTTCTGGAGCCCACAGCCTTGGGCTGGCCACCCGGCCCCCACAGCATTAATCAACACACTCAGTGTACTGTCTGCTGTAGGCAGCAGCGAGGCCAGGACCCCTGATGAGACCTAGTGAAGACCCTGCCACCACAAAACCATTGGAGGAACAAAATAAATCTCTCCAAATCGCAAGGGGAGACTAGAAAAACCTCACAGGACAAATGCTTCATTTTAGACTGAAGAAGACCTTTACAGGCACGTTTGAGATGGAGTCAAAAAGAAGAGAAAACAGCCCTTGTTTTCCCAGTGTCCACGTCTCAGGCTTCCTAACCGAGGTTTGTCCAAGAGGAGTGTCACTCTGTCCCAATTCTGGACCCTCGCCTCCCCTCTCACTTCCAAAGGAGTCTGAAATACAGGTGTGACTGTTTATCACAGCACCTGAGCAGCCACTGAGACCATGTCGCCCCACCTCCTCCAGAGCCAGGAATCTGGGCTTCACCCCACTGCCCTCCACAGCTGTGCCAGACATCGGGGGATGACCAGGTGGAGCCCCAGAGAGCCGCCTGGCCTTGCAGCAATGGGGCCAGGCTCACAGCAAGGGCTTGGATGAAAAACCACACTGTCTGTGATAGAATGACAAACCTCCAGGTTCAAAGACACACACACACTAAGGTCAATCCACGAGGTATCTGGTTGGTAGAGGCTTCAAATCTCACCCAACCCAGGCATGAGGCAGAGCACTGAGGGCATGAGCTGCTTCGGGAAAACCATCCCAGTTCCATGATGGTGGGAAGTCAAGCGTCTTTCCTACAGATGAGAGACCACTTCCTGTGGAGGGCCAGTCCTGCTCATCCGGGCCATGGAAAACCCACTTTAACATACACGGAAACCTATTCTCTACCCCAGAACATTAGTTCTGGCAGAGTGCAGGTGCTCAATAAACAGGTTCATTTTTCTTGTTAAGTGCTGCTACCAACACTGGGCACATCTTGAGCTGGATCAGACAGGGACCCTGCCCCTAGACATTCAGAACCTCCCAGGATGCAAGAGAATCACTGTGATGTGAGAGAGAAGGGGACCAAGACCATGAGGAAGAGATACAGGAAAGCAAAAGAAAGATGATCAAGGCAGGCTTCCTGGAGGCAGCATCTGCAGAACCACGAAGTTCTAAGACAGGGGTCGGCAAGCTACAGCCCAAGTGAGGGCCAAATCCAGCCCACCGCCTGTGTCTGTGTGGCCCATGAAATAAGAACAGTTTTTACATTTTTAATGGTTATTTCAGTACCAACATAATATCCTCAACTTTGCTTTCTGGCCAGTAAAGTATATAATATTTACAATCTGATCTTTTAGAAATATCTGCCAACTCCTATAACTGAGGCACAAAAACAATCCCCAGATAGTATGTGAAAATCATAGCTCACGTTGGCCGAGAGCTTATTGTGTACTGTGTGTGCTCCACTGTACACACTTTATTTTGTCTCCACGAAAACCCTACAAAGGAGATTTTATCCCCTCTTTAGAGAGGCGGAAACTGAGTCATAGGGACATCAGTAACTTGCCCAGAGCCTCACAGCCAGTGAGAGTAGAGCCTGACCCCAAAGCTGCCTCCCCATCGCTGACTGAGACTTCTGTCCAGCTCCCTTTGGAGGAAACATGAGAGCCAGCTTTCACCACAGGGCATGTCTGAGAAACAAGCTCCGGTCTGGCTGTGAAAAAAGGGAGGCAGAAGAAGGGATGGTATAGCTTACTGGTAAAGTGCTTGCCTGACATGCAGGAGGTCCTGGGTTCAATTCCCAGTACCACCATTAAACTAAATAAATAAATAAACCTAATTATCTCCCCTCACCAAAAAAGTTTAAATAAATAAATAAATATTTTTAAAAATTAAAATTAAAAAAGGGAGGCAGAGGACAGAAATAGGTCAATTCATGCTGGGATCTGAATGCCAAGTAGGGAATTTTCTGCAACCAGTGCTTGGTAAATGACAGTGTATATGGTAATTTCACTGCAACACTATAGTAGCAAAATATTGAAAACAACCTAAATGTCCATCACTTGGTGGTTAAATAAACTGTGGAACATCCATTCAACAGAACATGATGCAAGTTTTAAAAAAAGAGAGTCTTCATCTTCACTGTATTCGTCAGCTACTGCTGTGTAACAAACTACCACAACTCCTAGTGGCACACAGTAAGCACTGATTTCTTGGTCTCCTACAAATCAGTTGGGCTCAGCTGGGGGCTCCAGGCTACAGCCTGAGCCTGTGTCCGCTCTACTCATCTCTCAGGCTCCTTGGACCAGTGACCTAAGTGCATACAGTCTTCTTGTGAAAACAGAAGGAGCAAATGGAAACAGGCAAAGTCTTGCAAGCCCTCAGTGCAGAACTTACACCTTGTCACCCCACCTTATTCCTCAACAAGGCACATGGACCCGCCTAAAGTCAAGGGGCTTTCTCCTTTCGTGAAGGGAACTTAAAAGTTATATGGCAAAGGGTGTGGACACAGGGAGAGGTGAAGAACTAGGCCAATGATTCAACCATGAAGAACTAGGATATTATGGAACAATATCCAAGATGTATTTTGGATACTTGCCATAGCTACACCTCTCCTTAGTCAAAGGGACAGCCGTGTACATAACCTTTCCCTCAAAGCTAAGGTTGTCTAGGGGCGAATCCACATCTAACACAAGCCCTTTGATGCCATCCACTCACAGAACTCAAAGTAGTTAAATCTGTACCACTCGCCACCCTGAAAATGAAGTAGGTAACATCTGTTCCACCTGTCACCTTGCTCATGATGTAAGTGACATTTGTTCCACCTGCCACCTTGACCTTCATTCTGCCACATCTCTAGAAAGGCCCCCAGTATTGAGAGAACAATGGACGCAGGCACCTAAGAATAACCAGCTGTCACCAGAGGCCCTCCTCGGCCTGGCACCCCCCACTGGTGCCCTCTCCTGACCCAGACCCGTGTTCCCAAATGCTGTGCCACCTGCCTCCTGCACCTGACCCTGACCCCGTCCCCGTCACCATCTCTCTCCCCGCCACATCTGCCTATCAGGACCTTCACAGTTTCCCTTCCCTCCAGCATGTCCTCCATGCCTCAATTTTGTTTTAATAGCAGAACAACGTGGACAAGTTTTCCAGACCAAAATCACTTCCACGGCACCCAGGGAATCGAAGCCAGAATGGCTGTCTTTGAGACAGGTGGGCCCAACCTGTTCAGACAGGGCTCTGAGGCCAAAGTCAGGGGGACAACCCTGAGTGGGCCAGAGTAGGGGGAGGGGGATGTACGTGTGGCAAGGATGCAAGTTTAGACTTCAGAGTGTGTGCATGTGCATGCGTGTGTGTACACACATGTACACACATGTGTAGAGAAACGGGCCTGGAAAAATCTTTGTGAAAATGCCTCCCCAAATTGTAATACCTTCCAGTTCTGGTAATGAAGAAGTAAGATCATTCAAATCAGCCTCGGTGCTAAAGCTACTAAAAAAAAATCTGGAAAAATATTTTTTTAAATATGCTTGAAAGCACCTAAGAATGAACAAGGTAGGAAAGAACGCCCTGGCCCAGACCTGACAGCAGCAGAACCCAGAGAGGCGCGGCCCGCACTGGAAGCCGCGCCAGCCCTCTGGCTGGTGATGCTGAAGACACAGTTGGTGGGGCAAGGGGACCAATGGTCATGCCCAAGGCCCACCCGAGGGGAGAGTCTCATTACCACCCATTCGCTGAAACCCCAGAGGACCACACCGTCAGGGCGAACCGGCAGAAGCACAGCCCCAGCCTCTCCTGCATCCGCCACACACCCCCGTGACGTGCGGGGCCCCCAAGGGCAAGCAGTGCGGCGCCCGCCTGCCCACTTTACGGTGGAGCAGAACTCTCATTTATTAAGTGACTCTGAACTTCATTGTTGTGGAGCTTGTGTTTTTACTTTAGGAGGCACTGTGAGTCACATCGATGATTTCTTTGATGGTAAGTTCACGGCAAGAAACACGGCCCCAAATCATTACACTGCGCCTCAGGGAACGTGCGCTTCCCTCTGTGACCATCACCTCTGTGACACGCTTTATGGGCTCACGCGGCCGCTGAAAAGGGAGCCTGCCTCTATAAATGCAAATCTCTGAAACGCTCTATTTCTTTCAAGCAGCTGAGCTGCGGAGCAGAACGTCTAGAACCGGAAAATCTTGGGGTCAATTCCCTGTTTTACAACTGGTGAGCTGCAGGACGGCAGACAAATGACCCGTGTTACCGAGTCTCATTTTCCTCATATGTGCTGCTGCTGCTGCTGCTGCTGCTAATAATAATAATAATAATAATAATAA